ATTGGTTGACAAACATTTTGACCAAACACTCACAATAGGGGGGACACATTTTTTTGGAATTTTTTATTCACGCGGGGCTCGCATGCATGTGAGATGTTGTCAAATTCGATGTCATCCATTTTCGGTTCAAATGGAAAAACCCATATGTTTGACGGAAAGTAAATGCAGTTGCTGCATGGTCAATTAATGTAAACCACATACAATAGCCAAATGCTTTAAACACTGCAAAATTAAGACCCTCGATGTATTGTAAGTTACAAATGAAGTGAATGAGTAAAATCAAAGAGTCATTGCAGAATTGAATAAACTGACTCGACAACTTCACTACACTAATCGAATGGATATTAATGTTTTCCTTAATCATCCAAATGAGTTTTAAGTACTAAAATCATTGTGGCAATTAGACAAAAAGAAGAGGGAGATAATCACATGGATGATACTACTAAAATACAAAAAGTTTCGTGCCAAGAAGCTCTAGACATGTTCGAAAACTAAAAATATTTTGACTTCAACAAGAAGGTGTCCATGTTGATGAATTATTACGTACCCGCAAGTTCAAAAAGGTGGCACACAACTTTAGACAAATATTTCATTTTGCCTTAAATAATTAATGTAGTGTAGCATATATTTTTGAAATATACATATAATTATTACTATGTGGAAGTAAATTTTCTTAAGACGGGAACTAAAAAAATTAACTTAATACGATATGGAGTTTATTCTTATTTATAATTGATCCGAGTAGGGAACAAAAATATTTTATAACTACATAGAGATTAGTCATATATAGGGTATAAATATAGAACGACTTTAACACACATAGGAAGTTGTTACTTGCAAAAGACTCCATTGCATTTGGATTTTTGTTCTCTTGTAAGAATTTACAAGATTGAACTTGCCAAGTTTCTAAAATTTACTTATGATTAATTTTGAACTAAGTAACTTATTTTGAAAGTAATTCATAATTAACCGTCAAATTATTAACTAATTATAAGTGAAGTAAAAAGACATTTAAAAAGAATTTATTTTAGTTTTTAGCTTAGCCAAAGATGACTCTCATTTGAGCAGCCCATTGGAATCCATTTGGGCCGTCAAACTTTAAAAATCTAGCCTAGTCCAAGCAAAAGGGCAAAATTATTATTTTTATTATTATTATGACAAGTACAAAATCATAATTTTGACTGAACAAGATATGAAATATAACATGGTATTCCACAAAATCATATTTTCATTTTTTTTATCATATACAAAATTTCATAATAATAGGCCTTTTTAAAGGTCTTTCAGATGATCAACTGTTATATGGCTTGAACTCTTACGGAATTTTGAATAATGAGTGAAATCCCGAACAATTTCAGTTCTCTTCAACCCTGTACAGTATAAAATATACATACGTGATGCACGCGTGTAGGTGGGGGGATGGAGGTCTAGTAGTACCTTTATATCCTAAACAAAAAGCTTGCACAAAGATGTATGCAAGGTAAAATGGTCCCCCTCTTCAACTCATAGAAAAAAGGTATAAAAGGGGATTATTTTCTTCTTTATTATGTTTCATTAAAAGAAACAATGTACAGTTGAATATTTGTGTCTCCCTGTTTCCCAACTCCATAACTCACTGGCAAGTTTAAATGTGTACACGTGTCAACAACCCATTGCTTTAATTGAGATGATAATATTAACTCGTATTCTGATATATATTTTAAAATATATCAATGACCACATTTGAAGTGTCATGATATCTATTACATAATTCACATAAATTTACATTGTTTAAATTAAACTCATTAATTAGTACTATAAAACCTACATATTTTGTAATAAAATGCATATCAAACACACTCCATTAACTTTAGCTCCGTTTGTATCACTTTTTTTAAAGTCCTTCAAGGATCTCAAAACGACCATTCAAATTCAAAATTTAAGGTAGAGGTGTCAGAAAAGTTACCACGGGAATAATTACATTGTGACGGCCAAGCATTCATAACGATGGCAGTTGACGACAACCTTAGGGAGTCCTAAGAAGTCGACGGAGGCCTCGGGAAGTGCCCATGTTGGTAACTTTGTTTGCATCATGTGCATCTTGTTTAAATTATATTTTCAATCAATTAATAGAATAACACATGTTCATGGCTATTCAATTATGAAATTGTATAAGATCTCGAGTTAAATTGAATTGCAAAAGTGCAAATTTGCAATGGACTACCCATCGATAATACAACTCAATTGAATCACTTGAATACATCGAAATTCGATGTGAACAATGATGTTCACAAGATTACATCTAATACAATCATGAGATCAAATCAAGCCAAGTCAATTAACCATATAACTCTACATAAAGAATTAAATTTAAGCACTACAAATGTAACTAGGATCATGACTGGAATAATTTGGAAATATACTAAAAGAAAGATAAAAGATAGTATAGTTATAGTCCAAATTTAACACCCCGGTGCCACTTTAATGGAGTGTTTGGTATTATGGGACAAATCCAATAAATGGTTGAAAAAGGAATAAGATCACAAGGAGTTGTCACAATCAGGCAATTTTGCCAAATCTTTGTTGATTAGGGAAAATCTCTCAAGTGGGACATCTCTCAAGTGTATGGCCAACTCTCTTTACAGACTGTTGCATTGAATGGCCAGTGATAAAAGCAATCCTACTACAACAGATTCAATGACAGGAATTTACACGCACACTTGGCATTTTCTCATTGGCCGTTAAAGAAAAAAATTGCCAATCAAAAACAACCACTTCATCCCTTTGTCAGTGACCTTATCTGTTCAGCTTTATTTTTGTGATAAAAGTGTTCAATTCATTTACATACATACATCTATGTGTGTTGATGTAGGATAAGAAAGTGCACATAATGATCCCAAGAGAAATGAAGTTTGTAAATTTGCACAATTTGTTTTGATTTGGTTTAGATAAAAATTGATATAAAATATAAGTCAAAATTAACAATACATTTTACGAGATTCTTAATTTTTATTAAGAGTGTGTTTGGTAGGGATTTTTTGGGGAAGAAAACTAAAAACTTATCACTAAACTACCCTTTACACACCAACTTTTTCTTCTTTTTTCATAACTACACTACCTTTTATAATAAAATAACTTCTTACACACCAACTTTTACTCTTAACTAAATGACATCTTTTCCTCTTAGACATGCAAACAGGCCCTAACTTTTCAATCACATATTTCATTAATTTTTGTCAAATTTACTAAAAGTCTGAATTTTAGCAAAATCAAATGGAGGTTTAGTCAAAGTGCAAAGCACGTGGAGGTGAGAATTTGGTCTCTTCATGATCCCCAAAGAGAATTGTCAAGGTTTCAATAAAATAATTAAAAGAAGAAATCTTACCATCTTGTTGAAGTCGTGTTTTTATTTTACTGAAAATAGGCTAGTAAAAAGGGCGTTTGTACTGCACCAATAATGTGTTTTAAGAAACCCAGATATGCTATTATAGACACGTGAAATGTAGCCGGAAAAGAAAAATATTGCACCCCATTGCACTTAGAGGGCAAGTGACAAACATGTACGATGTTAGTCCGACTCAAATAATATAGTCCACATCAACCGAGCATAGGGTTTAAGAATGGAAATTGAATAGGCTTGTCTCGATGTGGTTACTCAATCCATGACAGAAAAAATTACCCAATAGAAACAAAGTTTCACTGATGGCCATTCAATCAACAAATGGCCAAAGTTAACGTTTTAGTTATTCGTACACCGAACATTGATGTTAACTCTTAACTTTCCTCATCGAAGTGTAAAATGACATTCAATTTTGGATTTCAATTCGACAACCGTCATAGTTCCTGCCCTGCTACCAGTCCCGTTTAAAATTAATTTTAAATTTAAGTTTTTTATCAAACAAAAATAATATATTTATCATATGTTTAAAAAGAACATACATAAGTTGTTTCTGACAAATTGGTAAAAAAATAATAATATTTACTAAGTAAAGACATAAAAAAAAAAAAGCAAAAAATAAAATAAATAAAAATAAATGGGGCATGGGACCTGCCCCGCCCCGCCTCTATCTCGCCCCGTCCCGTTTTAAACGGATATGGGGATTGGACAAGGTAACGAAAATATCCGACGAGATGGGATGAGAATGACTGATCCTTCCAATACCCGTCCCGTTGTCATCGCTAACCAGATGGTACTCCATAATCATTATACAAGGTAAATACACCAATTTAAGATGAACTTTAACTCGTAACTGATAATATGCTAGATTCACTTTTCACTTCATATAAGGACTCGTTTAACAAAATTCCTATTTTCGTTTCTACTTCTTGTGAAATAACTTTTATAAGAAGTTGACCAAATTGATCAAACAATCCCTAATTCAAGTATCAAAGAGAAGTTCTCGATTATGATATCCTATGTCAATTCGACAACCATTAACTAAACCCAACCCAACCGATTGTGTTACATATTTGTTTGAATATTTCGCACAATAACCCTGAAATTTACACCCTAACAGAAGCAAAATAAGGTAAAAATCTCAATAAAGCAATATAGGGATTGAAGACATATTACCGGTTACAAAACATTTGTTTCACTCTTTGTGAACTAGAAAGTTGGAGAAAGTGAATTATGAATTCCAACTATCAAATCATTTTTTTGATTTATAACTCATTATTTATCATGGTGTTTGATCTTCTTCTCATCACTCGTCATTGTCAACTTTGCTTTTCTTTTTCCACCTCTCACCAGTCTGCAAATCAGCAGCTTTCTCTTTAAGTATCTAACCCTATCCGACCCTATATACAGTTCAACCATACCCCTACCCCTACCCTGATCAGTGATCACCCCACTCCACCTCAATATCTCCATTTTTTTTCTTCTTTTATAAAAACAAAAGGAGAGACAGCAGCATCTTTATAAGTATAACCCAACTGTGTGTATATATTTCCCAACATATATATCTAACTACTGCATACAAAGTACTGCCCCTATCGGAAAAATACAACACACAGAGTGGAAGATGGAAAATAATTGGAACCTGTTCAGTAATAATATTAATGCCAGTGTGAGGGGGCGTAATGATAGTTGCCATGCATGGGAGATCTGGGATCTTGCCAACACCTTTCGCCACCCACCACCCACCACCTCCTCCACCGTGCAAGTGGAAGCACGTGATTTTCACGCGCTCATGTTCAACCACCAAGATAACCGTTCTTCATTATCACAGCCCGACTTCTATTCAGACCCTCATTTGACTTGCTTGAAGCTGGGAAAGAGGCACCATTTCGAGGATGTTACACTGGGAACTTCAATGACCAAGAAAGGCAAACCCTATGGTTCAACTGCTGGTAGTGGAGGGGCGTCTTCTGCGGCGGTGCCTTCAATTTTACCGAGGTGTCAGGTGGAGGGATGCCAAGTGGTGCTAGTGAATGCGAAGGACTACCACAGAAGGCACAAGGTTTGTGAAGTGCACGCCAAAGCTCCAAAAGTAGTGGTTCATGGCATTGAACAACGTTTCTGCCAACAGTGTAGCAGGTAAAAGTACTACTGTTCACTGCAAATGACTCCATATGTATTGTACTGTTTATTTGCAAGTGAATGACAACCAATTAAGCAGTGACTAAAAATGTACATATTTTGATAGGTTTCATGTACTGTCAGAATTTGATGAGTCAAAGAGAAGTTGCAGAAGGAGATTAGCCGGCCACAATCTCAGAAGAAGAAAGAACCCTCAAGACCATTCTGAAGTTGCTAGGAGACCTTACCAAGGTAATTAATAAATCGATAAATTATAAGCGGTTTACGGTAAAATTTATATTAAAGCGTGACATATGAAAGAAACTTCAAACCTTATTTGCCAAATGTTGCAGAACAATTCCACAAAGTTCTTAACTCCTGTAAGTACGAAGACACGAAGCATGGCGAGAGCACGTGTAGGCTAATAATTTATCTTTAGCTCCCAGCATACTTTTTAGTAATCATGCTTTGAATTTTCATTGTTTGGTCCCTCCTGAATTAATTTTTTAAACTTTTTTTAACATAACTTATTATCCACCTTCATGGTAATTGAGAAAAAAAAAAAAAGAAGAAGAAGAAATAGAAGCATGATATTAATTGAAAAAACACGCTTGTGATAGAACCTGAATGGTTAATACTTAGGGCGTGTTGGGTAGATATTAAAATTGGATTAAAATTAAAAAATTAATCATTATTGTTGACTTTGATTAGACAAGTGATTCCCAATAACGGTCATATTTTCAATTAAAATTGAATTTTAATCTTGAGCAAACATGCTCTTAATAGGTTAACTAGAGACTTCTTACTACTGGGAAAGGAAGGTTGAGGATCAAATTAGTATAGAATAGCAAAACAATATTTGCTTTGTAAGCAATTCAGGTTAATTTGGCCATAAAGAATGCTAGATGTAACACTCCAAGCTTACATTTACTTTGACATTTGATGTATCATTAAAAAATGAATGATGGAAAAATTGTTTATTTTTTTAAAATATCCAATAGTTTGTTATTACGTGGCAAAGTGTAAAGAATGATGTACATATAGCATGATTGTTTAGTCATTGTGCCAAGGAGTGGAGGTCTTTAGGCTCAGGACTAGAAATGTTCTTATAGGGAGTGTGCAACATTTAACAAACAATCATGCTTGGTGTATAATGTTGTGACAATATGTCACATTGTCATTGGACAATTTAAAAAATAATTTATTTTTTCAAATAACATTTTTTTGTCCCCTACAACATTGTCAACGATATTATCAAAAATCATTGTACAAACGGCATTATTCAAAAGACTGTTTATTCTCGTAGGCATCAAAGAGATGGCTGGTAGATATCAATATTCACCAACAAATGGGGAGTGTGCTCTCTCTCTTCTGTCATCAAAAAACAACAGCTGGATTCCATATAAAGACCTTCCATCAAGATGCAGCACTGCCCTACACGATTTGATTGCTGAAAATCGTGCAGCCATTTTAGCCAGACAGCTCAACTTGCAACAGATGAAGGCTGCAGACCCGACCCAAAAGGGATCCGTTCGGGTTCTGAACAACCATATTATACCCGGGTCACAAGAATACGGTGTCGACTTGACATTGGACCTCATGCAGGCCGCTCCCAGTTCAGAATTCGGGTTGTTGTCTATGCATGATAAATCAGGAGAAGAATGTTGTTCTGAATCGTGGAAAGTTCATTTAGGCTATTGATTATGTTTAAGACTTGCAAACATTCTATAAAAGATGTTTTAAGAATGTTGCAATAATTAATATAAATTATCAGATGTTGTAAAACAATCATGTATTTGAATGTTCATGTGTGCGTGTATTTATGTTAACAATGTTAAAATCTATTAGAAAGGATAGTGTGCATAACTCAACTTAACAAAATCGACTTGTTAAGGGAGGATTGCTCTCACCTTATTAAGTGGATCGTGTAAATATCACCAATCAATGTGGGACTCTAATACGCCTCCTCACGCACAGCGAGGACCATGCCAGACAACTGTGAACAAAACGATATTTGGTGGCACCCAACATTGCATATCTAATACGCCTCCTCACGCACAGCGTGGACCATACAAAATAACTGTGAACAAATTGATATTTGGTGCATCCAACATTGCAAAATTGGGATTTCTCTGATACCATATTAGAAATGATATTGGGTCTAACTCAATCTAACAAAATCGGCTTGTTGGGAGACGATTGTCCTCACCTTATTAAGTGGATCTTGTAAATATCACTAACCAATGTGGGACTTTAATAAAATCATTTAAACACGATTAAGAGAGTTTTCTATTTGGCAAGTAATTCATATGATCAGTCCTCTTTTGAAAATACCATTCACCGTGGTCCTCCTTTTCGCAAGAATAATATTTAGCTCTGCCTTATTGCTTTTGTTGATGCAAACTGGGCAAGTAATTCAGATGATCGGTCGTCAACATCCTCAAATATCCTATTTCTTGTAGGGATGGGCATGAATTGGGCTGGTTCGATTTTAGGGTTTAGGTTAGGTTTGAGTCTAGTTCACGTTGGGCTATTTTAAATCGTGTTAATTAACTATACAAGTATTCACTTTAACCAGAACACATTAAACCCCACACAACCTGGAGTGACATTAAATCCTAAATTAACCCAATTGTACACTTACAAAATGAACTTGAATTAACTACATTAGAAAAAAAAAATTGACCAAACTTTCATGCATTGCCAATATGTTTTTAATCCATCCGATTTCTTTATTTTATTACATAATATATATTAAATTTTCGGGTTCGAATTGGGTTGGATTTTATAGGGCAACCCAAAACTCAACCACTGACAGACAAAAAACTCTTCTGAAAAAAACTCTAACCGAACTATTGGAAAAATTGATGCAAAACTGGTCGGTTCGCTTTGGATTGGCCGGTTTGTTTGGTTACTGTTAGGCTTATTGTAATTGGCAATTATTTAGATAAAATTAAAATTATAAAAGAGTTGTAAAAGTTAAAGAGTCAATAGAGAGATTGTATATTTCAATTATAAGTTTTTGGGTTCGAATATAGAACAAAAAGACAAAGTCGCAGCATTAATGCTGGCTAAATGCTAAGATCATGCTCGAACGCCCAAAACAATCAGTTGGCGCCCACTTAACATCAGTGTTTCGCTTGAGCGTCAACCCGACACTCGCCCAGCGACGAGGTTTCGCTTGAGCACCAATTTTTTTTCTAGAAAAAATTGTAGATTGTTTTTTAAACAATTTTTTGAGTCCTAAACAACCTCAAAACACCTTCTATCATATATGCCAAAGTTATATTTCATCTATAGGTGAAGTTAATCATTATATTCTTCCTAGAATTCATTTGTTGGAGATCCTACATCAATCCCTTACATTGAGACCAATCAACCACACATTATTAAAAATATCAAATTCATATTCTCAAAACACCAAACCACCCACTTTTTAAATATTTATCAAAGAGTGCTGAAAATTCAGAAAGGTAATTGGAGTTTCGGTTGGAGGAGAACGATGAGTTTAGTCGAGTTTGGACCGTACTATAAGTCAATTCGTTTATGATGGATTTTATTGGTAGCATGACTAGAGTTTTTTTTATCCCGCGAGGGATTTTTCTCCGTGATCAATTCCTTGGTGTTATTTATTTTCAACAAATTACAAACTACAGTAATTCAACATTTATGTTAGATTTGCATGTGAATTCATCTGGATTAAATATTTATAATGACTTTATTGCTTTAGATGTTGGTAAATTTAAATTTAGCATAAAACACCTATTCTCCTCTCTAGGTATTGGTTGGGTCGAACTTCTATATTTTAGCAAGAAATACATGAAAATGGCAGATTAACCCAACAATATTTCCATAATAGTTTTTGACCGGTAAAAAAAGGTTAATTGTTTAAAATAACATATATTTACCAAAAGTCATTTTTTCCCTCGTATGAAAAACGAGAATTGAGAGGAAAAAAGAAAATCTTACATGGTCACTAACACGAGTCGAGATCCAGTCGAAATCGCCATCCTCACAGTTCGACCACCACACAACCCAGTTACCGACTACATTATCTTCAACAAGATTAGTTTTTTATGAATTATGAGATTGATTTTTCATTTATGATGTTTGAAAATTTTGTGGATTTTATGATGTTTATAATATTTATTCTTCATTATTTAGGTAAATTATTGAGTGTAGCAGTAATTGACACGCCCCACCCCAGATAAAAAAAACACCTATTCTCCTCTCTAGGTGTTGGTTGGGTCGAACTTCTATATTTTAACAAGAAATACATGAAAATGGCAGATTAACCCAACAATATTTCCATAATAGTTTTTGACCGGTAAAAAAAGGTTAATTGTTTAAAATAACATATATTTACCAAAAGTCATTTTTTCCCTTGTATGAAAAACGAGAATTGAGAGGAAAAAAGAAAATCTTACATGGTCACTAACACGAGTCGAGATCCAGTCGAAATCGCCATCCTCACAGTTCGACCACCACACAACCCAGTTACCGACTGCATTATCTTCAACAAGATTAGTTTTTTATGAATTATGAGATTGATTTTTCATTTATGATGTTTGAAAAATTTGTGGATTTTATGATGTTTATAATATTTATTCTTCATTATTTAGGTAAATTATTGAGTGTAGCAGTAATTTAAGCGTTGAATTTGTCAAAAAAAAAATAGCTTAGTCTCGTCGGAAATGGCGATTTTCGGTGAGAGCAGCCCGAATGCCAACTGTTAACAGTCCGTCAACTGGACCTAATATAACTGTCTGGGCCGACTGTTCGGCCAATATATATTTTTTTTAATTAAAAAATTAATTCTTATTTTTTCATTATATATTTTTTTTTCAATCTAAAATTCTTTTAAACAAATCTTTGAACATTTATAATTTCCATTTGTTTAAATTTTTTATTATAATTTTTTAGTAATTAATTTTAAAAAAATTCTTAATTGTTTTCTTCTTATTAAAAATTTAGTTTTATACTTTATAATACTCTTGCTTTATATATATATATTTTTATATAATTTTCTTTCATTTATTTTTGCTTTTATTTTTTAATTTTTTGTCATTAATTTGTATTTAATTTAATTTATTATTATTTTCTTAATTTTTTTTTCAATTTGAAATGGTTTATTATATTCTTTCTTTAATTTTTATATTATTTTCTTTAATTTATTTTTCTATTTTTATTTTTGTATGTAATTCTTCTTCTCTCTTCTCCTTTAATTTTTATATATATTTTTTATTTTTTCGTGTATAGTAATTACAATTAGATTTACTTAATTTTCTGATATTATACTTTATTCCATTATCTTTGTTGAAAATTCTAATATTTGAATTTTTGTAGGATGAAATACCATCTAAATGCGGAGTTGAGACGAATTACGGGAAACTGTACTTGGAATAGCAGCTTTGATAGTTTCACTACTATATTGGAGTCGTTTGATGATCAGCACAGAGATATGTTGAGAGAAGTGCAGTCCTCCGATAGATTATTGATGCATTATTGTGTCGACTGCTTAGGCCAGTTCACGGCTATACCCTCCACTTCGACCTGGGGGGCAATGTAGCTATTTTCTCTATGTTTGATTTTGCCTTGATGATTGGACTGAAGATTACGGGCGACGAAACAGCTACTGATAGTACTCAAAGAAGTAATAAGATGTACGACGCTGATTTTTAGGAATAGGGGACAGTGTTTCTACCAAAATTGATTAGTGCAATCAAGGAATGCGACCAGATGCAATATAGATTGAAGTTATGACTTGTCTATATCCTTGAGAGCGTACTGAGGTGGTCTATATCCACAAGAAGACTGCGATAGACCTTTTTTTCATTTGGAAGTTGTTGACGACATCGATGCCTTCAACAACTATCAGTAGGCCCGGAGATGTTTTGAGGACATCGTATATGTCTTCACCAGACCACACTTGAAGTCCAAAGGGTCCTTGCGTAAGTACGATACTTATGGATTGCCCCGATAGTATTCGAAGTTTTTTAACATAATCAATGTTAAAATATTTTTTATATTTAATTTATATATAAGATTGACCCCCTCTTTGGTGCCTGGTTTGCGAAGAGATGGGAGACACGCTGCCATCAGATGCATATTAGTGAGCATCCCGAGCAGACGGTTGTTAGCTCTTCTCAATGACCCTTAGATGAGTATTATACATTTGCTATTTATATTGTATGTCATTTCAAAATTTTAGCACATGATCATTAACTAGTTAAAATGTCAATATGTCGGCTTGACATCCAACTGAGTTGATGTCGTCGATGGAGGAGGAGGGTCGAGGTTTTGTGCATGAATTAATCGTTCTGCACACTCAAGACAACCAGTTGTCCAATTCCAACATGGACAGAGATTGGGTATGTGATTTGAATATAATTTGTTGAGTACCGTTTGAATGAGTTAGCCTATTTTAGTTAAGTTAATACTTTTTAATGTTGTTATTTGTGTAGGAGCGCGATCATGTTGATCGACAATCACCTTCGCTTTAGATATCACCTCCACAGATGGAATCACTTTTCAATGAGATCTCATTCTCATCCATCCAGACACCTTCCCCGTGGATCTCATGCACAGAGTCAGAGTCATTATTTCAATGATCTGTATATTCGTGGTTGGCTAGATTTATAAGAGAGAAGGTGGGAGCGTTACGAACAGAGTTGAGAGAGGAGGTGGTGCGCTACGAGTGG